ATTAAAAAAGAAAACCCATCTATTTGCTGCCTACAAGAAATACATCTTACCAACACAAATGCAGACAGACTGAAAGTGAAAGCATGGAAAAAGATAATGCATGCTAACAGAAAACAAAAAAGAGCTGGTGCAGCCATCCAAATATCAAACAAAATAGACTTTAACACAAAAACTATTAAAAGTTACAAAAAGGACACTATATAATGAGTAAAGTATCAATTCAACAGGAAGATGTGATTATTATAAATGTATATGAACCTAATTATAGGGCACCTGGCTATTTAAAAGAAATGTTAAATAGCTAAAAAAAAAATCAAAAAACTTGGAATAAATTTAACAAAGGATGCCAAAGATCTCTATGATGAGGATTACAAAACATTAAATAAATAGAAGACACAAAAAATGGAAAAAACTTCCATGTTCATGGATTGTAAGAATCAATATCATCAAAATGTTCATTTTTCCAAAAGTAATTTACAGATGCAATGCAATATCAATCAAAATAACAAAGACAATTCTTCTCATAGCTAAAGAAAAATGATGCTGAAGTTCATTTGGAAACACAGGAGACCTTGAATAGCTAAAGCAATCTTACACAACAAAAACAAAGCTGGAGGCATCGCAATACCAGATTTCAGCACATACTACAAGGCAGTTATGATCAAAACAGCTTGGTGGTGATACAAAAGCTGATAGACTAACGAACAGAAGAGAAACAGCAGAAATCAATGCAAGCATTTACAACCAACTTATATTTGACCAAGGAGCTAAAACCATTATCTGGAGCAAGGACAGTCTCTTCAAAACATAGTGCTGGAGGCCAGCGCTATGGCTCACTAGGCTAATCCTCCACCTGCGGTGCCAGCACCCCAGGTTCTAGTCCCGGTTGGGGCACCAGATTCTGTCCTGGTTTCTCCTCTTCCAGTCCAGCTCTCTGCTGTGGCCCAGGAGTGCAGTGGAGGATGGCCCATGTCCTTGGGCCCTGCACCCGCATGGGAGACCAGGAGAAACACCTGGCTCCTGCCTTCGGATCAGCGCGATGCGCCGGCCACAGCATGCTGGCTGCAGCGGCCATTGGAGGGTGAACCAATGGCAAAAGGAAGACCTTTCTCTCTGTCTCTCTCTGCCTGTCAAAAAAAAAGGATTAAAGTCCAAAATCTATGACCCAATACCATCAAAGAACTAGAAAGTATTGGGAAAACCCTGCAAGACAATGGCACAGGCAAAGAGTTCCTGGAAAAAACCCCAGAGGCACAGGCAATAAAACCAAAATTAACAAATGGGATTACATCTATTTGAGAAGATCTGTACTGCAAAAGAAATACTCAGGAAAGCGAAGAGGCAACTGACCGAATGGGAGAAATTATTTGCAAACTATTCAACTGATAAAGGATTAATAACAAGAATACATAAAGAGATTAAGACACTCAACAACAACAAAACAAATAAAAAACAGTGAAGAAATGAGCAAAGGACTTGAACAGACATTTCTCAAAAGAGAAATACAATTGGCCAATAGACACATGAAAAAATGCTCAGGATCACTAACCGTCAGGGAAATGCAACTCAAAACCAGGGTGGGGTATCACTTCACACCAGTTAGAATGGCTTTCATACAGAAATTAACAAAGAACAACTGCTGGAAAGGATGTGGGGAAAAAGGGACACTAACCCACTGTTGGTGGGAATGCAAACTGGTAAAACCACTATGGAAGAAAGTCTGGAGATTCCTCAGAAATCTGAATATAGTCCTACCATACAACTCAGCCATCCCACTCCTTGGAATTTACTCAAGGGAAATGAAATCATCAAATAAAAGTGTTATTCACACCCCTATGTTTAGTACAGCTCAATTCACACTAAGACATGGAATCAACCTAAATGCCCGTCAATGAAGACTGTATGTAGAAATTATGGGATATGTACTCTATGGAATATTGCACAGCAGTAAAATATGAAATCCAGTCATTTGCAACAAAATGGATGAATCTGGAAAACACCATACTTAGTGAAATAAGCTGGTCTCAAAGGAATAAATACTATACATTCTCCCTTATCTGTGATAACTAACAGAGCACCTAATACGAAACCTGTGGAAGTAAAATTGACACTACAAGAAGCAAAGACTTGAACACCCCTTGTCTTGACTGTCGAGTAACAATTTATTATTTCATTTTATTTTTGTACTTTTTTTAACTTAATACCATTGGTTGAACTCTTTACTTAACAAAGAATTAATCATAGATTTTAAAATTCAATTGAAATAGACCCCAGTAAAAAATAAAAGTGGAAATAAGAGAGGGAGGAGCTGTACAGTTATGCACACATTCCCTTGGACTTACCTCTAAGGGAAGGCTAAAAACTTGCCATGAGACTACAAATCTCATTAAGCTGGGTGGTAATAATACCATCTTCTTATGTGTTAAAGTGATCATATTAAGTGTTTAACTGATCATATAGATAGGATTAAGTGTCAAAAGAATCACATAAATAAGAACAAGTGTCTGGTAATAACAATAGATAGAATTAAAAAGGAGATAATGTTCCAACATGGGAAGCAGTGCACACAGCAGACTCATAGAATGACAAATGCCCTCATCAAAGAAGGAGGTACCTTTCTCTGAAGGGAGGAGAGAACTTCCACTTTGACTATGACCCTGTTGGAATTAGATTGAAGTTGGTGAACTCAAAAGGCTTCCATAGCCTTGGCAACTCATGACTAGAGCCTAGGGAGATTACTGACACCATAAACAAGAGTGTCAAATTGTTAAGTCAACAACAGGAGTCACTGTGTACTTACTTCTCATGTGGGATCTGTCCTTAATGTGTTGTCCAATGTGAAGTAATGCTATAACTAGTACTGAAACAGTATTTTTACACTTTGTGTTTCTGTGTGGGTGCAAACTGATGAAATCTTTACTAAGATAATTGAAAATGAATCTTGATGTGAATGGAATGGGAGTGGGAGAGGGAGCGGGAGATGGGAGAGGTGTGAGTGGGAGGGAAATCATGGGGGGGAGCCAATGTAATCCATAAACTGTACTTTGGAAATTTATATTTACTAAATAAAAACAAAGAAGAGAAAAAATAAAATAAAAACTGAATTTTAAAAAAATGACAAATGCCCTAAAGAGCACTCTGACCTCAGAATCAGCTCTTAAGGCACTCTGGACCAGCTTATAAACCCAGCAAAGCCTTTCAGGCAGGGAAATGCAAGACATAGTGGCAAAAAAGCAAAACAAAACAAAAAATCCTACATGAAGGATCTCTGTAAGTGAGACCCCAGTGGAAATATGGGGCCATCAAAGAAGGAAGAATTTTTCTCTGAAAGGAGGAGAGAACTTCCACTTTGTTTATGGCCCTGTCTAAATACTGACAGAGTTTATGGACTCAAAAGGCTTCCATAGCCTTAGCAGCTCATGGAAAGAGCCTCAGATGATCACTGTCATCATAAATAAAAGTGTTAATTGTTAAATGAACAATAGAAGTCACTGTGCTCTTAGTCCCCATGTAGGATCTCTGTCCTCAGTGAATTGTACTATGAGAATCAACTGCAAAGCTTGTTCTCAAACAATACTTTATACGTGTGTATGGGTGGATGAGTGGGTGAAAATTGTTGAAATCTTTATTTAGTATAGAGTTGGTCTTCTGTATATAAAGTACATATGAAATGAATCTCAATGAAGAATGGGATGGGAGAGTGAGTAGGAGGTGGGACAGGAGTTGGGGTGGGAGGGCAGGTTTGGGGGGAAGAACCACTATATTCCCAAAGTTCTACCTATGAATTTTGAATTCATTAAATAAAAGCTTTAAAAAAAAGAAATAAAAAAATAGATCTCAGTAAAAATTAAGAGTGGGAATAAGAGAGGGAGGAAGAAGAGTGGTAGGAGTGGGGGGTGGGAGGGCAGGCACAGTGGGAAGAATCACCATGTTCCTAAAGTTGTAATTATGTAGTATATGAGGTTTATAACTATAAAGCTCTATAGTTCTACATACATTCCTAAGGACTTACTTCTAATGGTACAATCTAAAAACTGGCCATGGGACCCCAACTCCCCTTAAGCTATATGGTAAAAATGCCATCTTAAGTATTAAAATGATCATATAGATAGGATTAAGTGTCTGGTAATCATAATAGATAGCATTAAAAAGGAGGGAATGCTCCAACATGGGAAGCATTCCACACAGCAGACTCATAGAATGACAATTGCTTTAAATAGCATTCTGGCCTCAGAATCAGCCCTTAAGGCATTCTGGGCTGGATGAAAAGCCCACAGGAATATTTCATGAATGGAAACACAAGACACCGTGGCAAAAAATGCCCTACATGAAGGTCTTCTGTGGGTGAGACCACTGTGGAAAGAAGTGGTCATCAAAGAAGGAGGTACTTTTCTTTTTTCTTTTTTTTTTTTTTTTTACAGGCAGAGTGGACACTGAGAGAGAGAGACAGAGAGAAAGGTCTTCCTTTTCCGTTGGTTCACCCTCCAATGGCCGCCGCAGCTGGCGTGCTGCAGCCAGCGCACCACGCTGATCCGAAGGCAGGAGCCAGGTGCTTCTCCTGGTCTCCCATGGGATGCAGGGCCCAAGCACTTGGGCCATCCTCCACTGCACTCCCTGGCCACAGCAGAGAGCTGGCCTGGAAGAGGGGCAACCAGGACAGAATCCGGCACCCAGACCGGGACTAGAACCCAGTGTGCTGGCACCGCAAGGTGGAGGATTAGCCTAGTGAGCCACGGCGCCGGCGCAGAAGGAGGTACTTTTCTCTGAAGGGAGGCGAGAACTTCCACTTTGCTTATGGCCTTGTCTAAATACTGACGAAGTTTATGGATTCAAAAGTCTTCCATACCCTAGGCAGTTTATGTCAAGAGCCTTGGGTGATCACTGATGTCATACATAAGAATGTTCATTGTTAAATTAACAAGAAGAGTCACTGTGCACTAACTTCACATGAAGGATCTCAGTCTCAAAGAGTCATATTATAAATATGTCTAAGTACTCACAAAAGATGTATCATTCTTGAGTGCTTCTTTAAAGTTAATTAAGTTTCTAAAAAAAAAAGTGAAATTAACTTCAAGATGCCATGACTTTGAATAGCCCTTGTCTCAACTGTTGAGGAACACTTTTGTGTGTGTGTGTGTGTGTGTGTGTGTGTACAAACTGCTGAACTCTTTACTTAGTATAGAGTTTGACTTCTGTGTATAAAATTAATAAAAAATGGATCTCAGTGGAGAATGGGACCAGGAATGGGAGACGGTGGAGGAGGAGGGGTGGGAGAGTGGGTAGGAGGGCGGGTATGGTGGGAAGAATCACTATATTCCTAAAGTTGTGCTTATGAAATGCATGAAGTCTGTATTCTGTAAATACAAACTTTCTTTGTGGAAAAATTAGTAAGTATGCACACACGTGTATGGCAATCTGTTATAAATGGTTAAATCTACCTGTTCTCATTGAGCTCTTTGTACTTTTCTGTATTGTTTGAATATCTTAAAAGAAAAAGGAAAAAACTGCCTTACTTCTATAATTACTCAAAATATTGTTAATCTAAGGCACCCCTCTGGGTTTCCAAAACTTGCTGTCATCTGATTTCTGATATGGATCAGGCCCTCATTCCAGGCCACAAAAGAACTAGACTATTAGGTATTTGCAACATGGTCCTATTAATTAGTAACTAAAAATCAATTATAATTCTTCTTTTGCCTGACTCACTAATACCAAGGAAAGATTAATGCCCAAGTGTCGCCCCTCTGGAGACTTCCAATCAGTTTTCAACTGGTCCTATTTGATCCACTTTTAATTAATTTTATGTATAAAATCTTCACAAGAGATTTTCTGTATACTTCATTGAATACTAATAAAAAATATATCTGCAGTTCTTCCTTTGTCAGATGTTTCTCTGATTCTTCCTCACCAGCAATCAAGTCTGATCAGTTGTTAGATTTCCAATAATGTTATTACTCAGGCAATCACTGTTTCCTAAAGATTTAAAGAGTTTTCTCCATTGATATTGTACTGTATTTAATTAAAACGTACACTGAAATAACCAAACAGTTTTTAATAAGACATTCTCCCTTATTTGATCACTCTTAAAACTCACAGATGGGGTTGTGTAGAATGCTGTACCTCTTTTTGTCTCTTTTGTGTATAATCTGATCAATTGCTCAGGAAGCCTCTGGAGTCATCCTGGGTTTTTAACATTTTAGTTGACACATGATATTTGTACACCTGTATGGGCACAGGGAAATACCTCTACAGATGCACACATCATAAACTGATCAAATCAGGCGATCAACCTGCCCACCTCCACCCTGTCTCCATGTTTGGAGCCTGCCAGCTCCTCTCTCCCAGCTCTTCAGATAGTAGATAATATACTGTTGGAATATTTATTCATGCCATAATGTTGTGGAGCACTAAAACCTGTTACTTGGTCTACCTGTGGTTTGGTACCCATAATCCATCCTCCCTCTCTCATCCTGGGGTTGTTTTTGATTCTACTCAGCCTTCTAAGAAGAGCATCCCCTGGAGAGAGCAGGCAAAAAGGGTCAGTGTGTTACTCCCATCACTTCTATTACATTCTATTATTTCTCCTGTTCCCTCATTATGTAGCAACTAACCCTAGGTCCTTTTCTTGTTCTTTCCGTGAACATTCAGACTGAGTTCCCTAGAAAATGTTCCTCTCTATTTTTTCCTAAAGAGATTGAACTTTCAGTTATAGTTAACCATAGAATCTCTCCAGTCACAAAACATTAAATGGTGTGTATTGGTTTCTAATGAAATCATAAAGCTATTGTAATAAATATTTAACAATAAAATTTCAGAGTAGTCCTTCTTTATGATAAATTATATAAAATAGAGATAATTTTCATAGAATATGTTGCCTACCACAAGCTTTAACTTATGTACTAGCCAGTAACTTTCCTTCATGCTGAAACTTCTCTTTGAATTCTGCCTAAGGTGTTTATATAAGTTAGTATACAAACAGGTATTTTTGCTAGTGCTAAGGATACTATTAATTAGTATGGCCAGACCAACATGAGTAAACAAAAATATGGTTCATTGTATCTCTGCGACACCCCCCACTTAGAGCCATAATAATCAGAAATAGATATCAGAAGAGGTGCTGACCCAAGGAACAGTTGTCACAGATCAGCGTTACTAGAATCCATGATACCCTGACATTTTAACCAAAAAGATCTCTAGGTAAGTGTAATTTATAAGTTTTGGTACTCTGAAATGCCACTCAGGAATTAATTTTTCTCATTATGGTCAACATCTTATCTCAAAATTCTGAAGAAATGATAAAACTCTTCCATGAAAGGAGAAATAAATGTTGGAATCAAACTAAGCAATTGACATAATCTTAGGAAACAAAATGCTATGACAAGTTTTGTAAATACATAAACGTGTGCTTCAACATGAAGTTTATTTGTTGTTTGACAGATAGAGCTAGACAGTAAGAGAGAGAGACAGAGAGAAAGTCTTCCTTCCGTTGTTTCAACCCCCAAATGGCCACTACGGCTGGAGCTATGCCGATCTGAAGCCAGGAGCCAGGTGCTTCTTCCTGGTCTCCCATGCGGGTGCAGGGGCCCAAACACTTGGACCATCCTCCACTGCCCTCCCGGGCCCCTCAGAGAGCTGGACTGGAAGAGGAGCAACCAGGACTAGAACCCAGCACCCATATGGGATGCCGGCATTGTAGGCAGAGGATTAAGCAAGTGAGCCACTAGCCAGCCCCTCAACATGAAGTTTTAGCATATAAGCTTTTCCCACTAAATATTTCTTTCCCAACTCTTCACAGTTTTACTAAATACTCTTATTTTTCAAAAACAAAATGTCACTTGGGACATTTGTTTCTAAAACAGTTTTGAAAATGAAAAGGATCCTAAACGTTTAAGAGCCATCCAAACCTTATTGCTCTAAGCTTTCTTGATGTACAAGTTATTGTTACCTCCCTCTAAGCTCAAGCCTTTAATAAGCCATGACTTTTGTTCACTTTTTTCCACTTCTATGTTTTCCTATACCCCATATCTGCTATTATCTCTTCCCTGGGATACTGTAGCATTCCCGTGTCTAGCTTCTTATATGTACCCTGGACCCTCCAAACCCTTCTACACAGCACTGGATCAACCATTTCAAAATGAAAACCTGGGCCAGCGCTGCGGCTCACTAGGCTAATCCTCCACCTGCGGCGCCAGCACCCAGGGTTCTAGTCCCAGTCGGGGTGCCGGCTTCTGTCCTGGTTGCTCCTCTTCCAGTTTAGCTCTCTGCTGTGGCCCGGGAAAGCAGTGGAGGATGGCCCAAGTGCTTGGGCCCTGCACCCGCATGGGAGACCAGGAGGAAGCACCTGGCTCCTGGCTTCAGATCAGCACAGTGCGCCGGCTGTAGAGGCTATTTGGGGGGTGAACCAACGGAAGGAAGACCTTTCTCTCTCTTTCTCTCACTGTCTAACTGCCTGTCAAAAAAAAAAAAAAAAAATGAAAACCTGATTATGTTGCCAACTCCCCCTCATTCTACATAGGATCTTTCAAAAGCTCCCTAATTCTTTTTTATATGTGGAGACTAAAATCCTTAAAATGTTCATGAGTGTTCTACTTGCTCTGAGTTGTACGAGAAAAATTATTTATTTCCTATGCTAAAGTCAGAAATTCATGTTTTCTGTACTTTGCTATTTCTCTGGCTCTGGTCTTTAGCAAAACTATACCTATTTTTAGGGTGCATCCATTAGAAATGACTCTAATCAAAGGAGACAAAGTACTTGATATCAGCTTGCTTTGGTCTATTATTTCACTGCTCTGAAGTAGTTTTAATTAAATGCTTGTTGTTTTCCCTGGAAAACACTCCAGGGAGTGAAAAATTCTTGATATACATTGTACAATAATCAAGAATCCGGAAGCCATTTTCTTTGGCAGTTGCACTCATTTCCTGAGAAATTCAATGAAATTCACCAGAAGTTCTATTGCTGACACATCATTTACAGACCCTCTTTTGCCTGTATGATCCTCTGCTCCATGAAAGTGCGCAGTTTTAAGGCTTTGCATACCTCAATCAGTTAGCAACAAGAAAACAACCTGCCCATTTTCAGTATCACATGGTACAATGTCTTAAGCCTGCCTGTGCCTGGGAAACTCAGCTCTGCCTTCTTCTGTTCTCTTTAATTCTGATCATGCGACCCATGCTAGAAAAGCAAAGCACAAGTCAAATCCTGCTGTCAGCCCCAAGGACACATCACCTTTCATGAAACTGAGCTTACCTGGGATCTAAGAGTTTCAGTTCCACAGTAGGTTTTACCCAGTGATTGTCGGTTCCCAGGAAAGCTAACCTGAGGTCAGGCATCTAGATAGTAGAGGAAGCTACCAATCTGCTTCAAAGACTTTTTTTAAATAAATCTTTTATATCCTGAAGTTTTAGGGGTTTGTCCCAGTAGCCCAAGTTCTTTGACATTCTTTCCAATATAGTGTTCAGGTGAAATAAACTTTGGTCAAACTCAAAGTTACTTTCTTTGTGTATTCTCTTTTGTTCTGATCATTTGCCTTCCTGCATTTTAAGTACCAGTATTAGACCCTAGAAACTTTAATTCTGCTCACGTGCACAGTATTAGCTTTCCAGAATCTTGCTCTAGAACCTATGGTTTTAACTGTGCTGATGGAATTCCATGTAACCATGTTGTTCCTCACATGGGTGTCTTAGGAACACGGGGACATCTTTTGTTAGCAGTGCTTTCATTCATTTCCTGTTGGTGCTGTAACAAATTAACACAGATTTAAAAGCTTAAAATCCCACACATTTATGCTCTTCAAGGTCTGTATGTCAGCAGTCTGAAATGTGTCTCACTGGGCTTACATCAACGTCATCAGGGCTGGTTTTTTTCTGGAAGTTCTGAAGGGAGAACGCATTTCCTTGCTTTCTGCAACTTCTAATGACCTCCTTCATACCTGCCTTTCGGACTCTTCTTCCACCTCCAAAGCACTTCCCGCCATTCTCAGCTTTTGGCTTCACATCATCTCTTCCTCTGTTGCTGCTGCAAAATCTCCCTCTGAGTCCCTCATATGAGGATACTGACGATGATATTCAAGGACCACCCAGATGATCCATAACCATCTCTCCCTCTCCAGATTCTTAAGTTAATCACTTCTGCAAAGTCCCTTTTACCATTTGAGCTAACATGTCCACAGGTTCCAGGAATTAGGGCAATTGACATCTTAGAGGAGCATGATTTAGTCAGAACGAGTGCCCATAGTCTTCATCCCTTCAGAATTACCCTTCGCTAGATTTTCACAAAACTAACAACATAGCAGCCAAGTGCCCATACTCATCATATCTGCAATATCTACATTCTGGTAGATTCCCATAAAACTAGCAACATGGCCCTGATCCAAGGCACCAACTAATGTAAGCCAGATTCATGCAGTACTTTCTTCCATTCTCAGTAGCAAGGGTCCCCATTCATTCCCACCCTTCTAATAATGAGCCAGTAGACTCATCGTCCCAGCAGTGCTCCTCACCACTCGCAGGTGCAGCCCTCACCTCCGCCCCAGAAGCTGGCAGAATGCTGTAAGACAGCCCCTCCGTTATCAAAGGCAGGACAAACAGAATAAAAATAGCTATGAGGTCACACAGCCCACTATGACGTAATAAGATGTACTATTTCAGCTCCTCTTTAACTGGGATAGAAAGGAGGAAGAGGCTGAACTCTTACGCCTTCATCTTCTCGATTTTTTTAAGTCCCAAAGTGACTGATTAAAAGAATAAGGTGAACCCAGTCCACCCGTCCTGGTCACTTCACAAACAGGAAGATACCCCCCTTCTCTGTTTATTAGCTTTTAAAATCATTTAATTCAGCCTCTGCCGCTAGGATTGTTCATTCCAGCACCAACACAAACCTTCAATTTTTTTTCCAAATATTCAAAAGTAACTGATTCTAGTCTTTAGCAATCTTCTCAGGAAAGAGATTCTGAACATGAATTTAGGTGCTTTGCCAAGGCTTCAAATGCCGCGCGGCAGCCCCTCTCACACGTTGGAGAAGCTATTTTCATCCTGTTGTGCTATCTCACACATGGTGGTGCAAAATAGTTAACACAAACTGGCTTACACATTCCGCAGGGAGCAAACTTCAAAAGTTAATGCAACTTATTTTTAACTTAGGTATGAGATTATTTCCACAAAGAGGACTTAAAGGAATCCAAAATGTCCAAGCGATTTCCGGGCCACTTCTGCTTTATTTCAAGCTGTTCAAGAGATGGTCAAAATAAAAAATGGAAAAAGATTTACTGTCTTCCTCCAGTATGGAGCAACTGCCTCCCCCCACGATAACTTGTGCATCATTAATGGAAACATTATCTCACACCAGTCTCATTCCCATTTCCCGAGGCACTGCTCTGGGCATCTTCCTGTGGTTTTTATACATTGATGACCATCATTATTCATTTTTATGAGAATTCCACCAAAATTAAGCCTTTATGACAACATTCACATCTGAGCTAATGTGACTTAATTCCAAGTTGGCTTCATGAGGCACAGTAGCAAGTGCTTTATTAAAATCTAGGTAATAAAATTAGCCCATTCATCTACTGACTGTGTGCTCCTATGACATTATTAAATTCATTTTTAGGGTGGGAGCATGGGCGGGAAGGAGGACAGGGTGGGAAGTGTCATTATGCTCTTAAATCTATATATATGAAATTTGATCACCTTATATAAATAAAAAAGTTTAAATTAAAGAAATTGATTTTTTATACTAAATGTCAATTAATTACACCAGGCTAGATAAAATCCAATAATCATAAACATTTTGGTTCCATATTTTTTCTGTGTGCTGAGCAGAATTTTAAGGCTAGCATTTGGCATGTAGCCTAAAATACAGACTAGTACTTAACTTCTATTCAAGTGACATTTATATTGAGAGGCTCAGGGTAGAAAGCTCAAAGATTAGAAATATGATTTTTAAAGGTATCCTTGAGCTTTTGGATGGAAAATCTTTAAACTTCATTGGACTAAATCAAGGTGCCTCCAGCATTCTGAGGACTTTATGTATTTTTTTCCTTTGGTGACTGTTGCGAGAATTGTATGCAAGGTGGATTTTATTCAACTTCAGGTATTTTCATGTTTGAACTCATTTGTTCTCATACAAGTTGAATAGCCTGATCTCCAAGCCTAAGAAATAGTAATGGCAACAAATACACCATAAGGAGCCAGCTTTAAAAGCAAAAATATGAAATACATAAAATTTGTTCCATTCTTATTAAAAAATTTTTTTTAAAAAGAAGCCAGCTTTAATACGTGGATTAACCCCACAGAAATATGTGTTAGCAGGATAAGTTCTTAGGTTCAAGTTAATCTGGAAATCCTCACATAAACTCAATCCCAGAGCCAAATAAAAAGACTTAAGTCTGTGTAAATGACTCACAGCTTCTTCAGGGGGATATCTGAGTGAATATCTGACTCCAAACCCAACCTGCTTTCCCAGAAGGCTTTTCCTCTATGCAATCACCCAGAATCTTTGAAGATTTGATTCAGGGAGAAGCAGGTTCACTAACCTCTCTTAGGGTACAGCTAGATAGATCAGCAAGGAATAACTAGCAATTTTCAAAAAAAAAATTCTAAGTCTAAATTTTCAGTGGGCATAAGCCAGGCGAACCTCTTTTTACGCAGTCCTTCGCAGAAACATGAAATGCACTGTTAGTGTCATGAGCTCCCGCTCTGGAGAACACCAGAGTCCAGGCTCCCCAGCCCATCTCCAGCCCATTCCTGGGGCCAGCATCCTGTGAAGAGGATAGTGGTGATTTCAAGGCAACGCAAATGCTTTAATCTCTTAAACAAAGCAGCAGCTGAAACAACTGCATCTTTTAGGAACCAGTGACAAATTGTTGCTGGGAAGTTCCATGTCTTTAAAGTGGGGGGATGATTTATTATCTTCCCTCTCTTAACTAGGACAATTAATTGGTAACATAATAGAAAGTCTCAGCAGTGCGTGAAGAATGGCCTCCTCTCTGGATAAAGCATGAATGAATGCCAAAAAAAAAAAAAAAAAAAAAAAAAAAAACTAAATAAAGCCTTTTTTTTTTCCTGCTTTAGCTGCAGCAGTTACTGTTCAAGGAATCCCTGGGCTCCTCTGATTTCTGTTGTGCTGCTGATTGCAAGACTGACAAATCTGAGACGTGAGGTTACACCTGTTAATAGAAGGACAAATAAAAAGTAAAAACCAGCTCTTTTCCATCTTGCAAGATGCAGGTGGAAAAGCCGAGAAGCCGGAGGCTCAGGAAGAGAAACTCAAAACCAAGAGAGCCAGAGACAAGGTTAAAAAGTTCAAGACTGAAACACTGAAGAAGGAAAACCTCACTGTGGCACAGCTCTGTGATCCTGAGACAGACTGGCAGATATTCCTGATGGGCTACATATTCCAGAAGGGGAGTTCTCATCTGCTAAGTTCACGATTGAGATGATAGAGGTTTCTTGTAACTGTCAGGAACCAGTAGGTGGTGATAAGAAAGGTGGCATCTAGGAGGTCAAGTTTTGCCAAAGCCTGGATGTTATCTTACTGAAGATGGGCCTTGGAAGCTGTTGGGCCATGTAGGAGACCCTGATGGAGTTCCAGCCTTCTGGCTGGGGCCATTTGGGTAGTAAATCAGCAGATGGAAGCTCGTGCACTCTCTCTCTCTCTGTCACTTTCTCTGAAATAAATACATCTTTAAAAAACAAAAAAAGACTTGTCAATACCACTTCCACAGAAATTGATACCAGTCATGTGGAAACCCCAAAATATCTCTGTGAAGCTTCCTTTAGGAGGAAGGTGCTGTGGAAGAAGCTTGTGTTTTGGCACAGAAAGCTAAGCAACGCTTGTGATGCCAGCATCACGTATCACAGTGCCAGTTCACAACCCGGCTACTCTGTTTCCAATTCAGCTTCCTTCGAATACACCTGGGAAGCAGAAGATGTTGGCTCAAATACTGGGACTCCTGTGGATAAAGTTCCTGGCTCCTGGCTCCTGGCTTTGGCCTAGCCCAGCACTGGTTGCTATAGCCATTCAGGAAGTGAACCCACAGATGGAAGATCTACCTCTCTCTCTCTCTGAATGAGAAGGAAGAGAAAGAAGATGAGGATAAGGAGGAGGAGGAGAAACAGCAGTATCTGTAGAAGACAAGAGACTAAGAAGGTGAGATCTTCAACACAAAGAGAGATGAGATTACAAAGCATCACAGGTTGATTAGAAAGTTGTGGATTCACAACCCTTGGGACATTCGGATCTGACTAAAAGGTCCATGGGAGTCTCAAAGGCATGGAAAGCCATGACACGGTGGCAAAAAACAATCTAAATGAAGGATCCTGGTGAACAACACCCCAGCAGAAGGATCAGACCATCAAGGAGAGAGGCGCCTTTCTCTGAAGGGAGGAAGGAACCTCCACTGTGATATGGCCTTGACTAAACAAATTCAGAGTTGCTGAACTCAAGGGGCTTCCATAGCCTAGACAGCTCATAGCCAAGAGTCTTGGGTGATTGCTGACATCATAAATAAGAGTGCCAATTGTTAAATCAACAATGGGAGTCACTGGGTTCATGCTCCCCACACAGGATCTCTGTCCTTAATATGTTTAACTATGAAACTCAAAAACAACACTACTAGTCAAACAATACCCTATACCTGGTTCGGTTGTGTGAGTGCAACCTGTTGAAATCCCTGCTTAGTATATACTAAGTTGATCTTCAATATATGAAGGTAATTGAAAATGAAACGTGATGAAGGGCGGGATGGGAGAGGGAGTGGGTGAGGGGAGGGCCACGGGAGGGAGGGAGGTCGAGGGGGAAGCTACAACAATACAAAAGATGCATTTTATATTCTACTTAAAACTATTGGTTGAACTCTGTAATTAATACACAATTACTCTTAGGTGTTTAATGCTATAACTAGTACTCAAATAGTATTTTACACTTTGTGTTTCTGTGTGGGAGCAAAATGTGGAAATCTTTACTTAACATACGCTAAATTGATCTTCTATATATAAAGATAATTGAAAATTAATCATGATGTGAAGGGGAAGGGGAGAGGGAGTGGAGGGGAGCGTTGTGGGTGGGAGGGAAGATATGGGGGGAGGAGGCTATTGTGGTCCATAAGCTGTACTTTGGAAATTTATACTCATTAAATAAAAAATATTAAGATAATCGAAAATGAATCTTGATGTGAATGGAAGGGGAGAGGGAGTGGGAAAGGGGAGGGTTGTGGGTGGGAGGGACAGTATGGGGGGGAAGCCATAGTAATCCATTATTCGTACTTTGGAAACGTATATTCATTAAATAAAAGTTAAAAAAAAATAAATAAATAAAATAAAATAAAAAATAAAAAATAAAAAAAGAAAGTTGTGGATTCAAGGATTTAACCAAAAATCAAAGTTCCCTGGTTCCAGGGTTATATGCAATGTTTTTGCTCTAACAAATGGATTTTATCCTCACAAATCAGTGTTCTAAATTTAATAACAAAAATCTCATTAGTTAACTACCTTTAATTTTTTTTATTCTTATTTGGAAGTTGGAGACAGACAGATCTTCCATCCACTGGTAACTGCCCAGATGCCTATAATAGCTACAGGACTAGGCTAAGAAAGATACTGGGAGCTGGGAATGAAATCCAGGTCTCCCACAACGGCTGGAGCTGCGCCGATCCGAAGCCAGGAGCCAGGAGCTTCCCCGGGTCTCCTACGTGGTGGGTACAGGGGCCCAAGGACTTGGGCCATCTTCTACTGCTTTCCCAGGCCACAGCAGAGAGCTGGATCAGAAGCAGAGCAGCCGGGTCTCAAACCAGTGCCCATATGGGATGCCGGCGCTTCAGGCCACAACACCTGCTGACTCCCAGGTTCTGCATTGGGAAGAAGCTGGCGTCAGAAATTGGAACCAGGAATACAACTCCAAAGTGGGACACAGGCATCATAACCATTAGACTAAATGCCTGATCCAAGATAGTTACAAATATTTTTGAGGTTAAAAATCAGAGTCTTAATCCTTCATGTCAAAAATAATGGAAGGGTCAGTTTTCCAGTTATTCTTGTAAGAAGCTTGAAAGTCACCACTCCACCCTAACAAGTAAAAAGCTAAACAGACTGGAAAGTCAACAACTCTTCTATGATCCATAAGTGAGGACAGGACACTAAAAAATACTGTGATCCCCAAGATTGGAGAGATGGACAGGTGAATACAGAGAGCTATGGCCCACTAAAGCCAAGACCCACAAGTGCAAATTGCCCCAGAAACCAGTGCCGCTCTGCAGTGGGACTGACAAACTCCCAGCGGCTCAGTGTGAATAAAAGCTTCAGGGAGATCTAGTGTTAGGGAGCCCTACAACTTTGTGATGTTTACTTCCAAAGGTTCAACTGGATTCTCACTGTATATAGCGACAAATGCCTTTATGTTTACAGCAGAACAAAGGGATCGGAACAATTTTGAAGTATGTTAGACCATTCTGTGCTTAACAAGGCCTTTCCTCGGAAAGAACTGGTTAACTAGACCCTTATCTGCAAGGGTATTATTATCAGA